TTAAATTCCCCAAAACCCCAAAACCCCAAAACCCCAAAACCCCAACAGTCCAATCATCGTAATAAAGACTATTGAGAAATAATAATTAAATAGATTATTTGAGGATTCTTACTCGAATATTTTATTCATATCGCGGTTCATATCAGGGGGAATTGTGGTATAGAGGCTCTTGATCAGTAGACAAATGCTTGGGTCTTTTGATGTCTTCAGTCATTCTTGCGAATTTTCTGACTTGATTCTATTAAGTTGGATCATGAATAACTCTTGCACTAGCATAAGCTGTGAATATACCAGCCAGAGCACCTCCAATAAGAGGTCCAAATACATAAGCAGGCAAGAACTTAATGTAATCATTAGTATCCATAGCTATTGCTACAAATGTCAAATTTGTGAAGCCGATAGTTGGATTCAATGCAGCACCTGTGTATCTTCCAGCACAGTTAATTGAGAAGTAAATTGCCCCTACGACTGATCCAGCTCCAAGGACCATGTTGTCAAATAAGGAAACTTTTGAGTTCTTAGAATGCTAAATGACAACTTGGAATGTAAAGGTAAAGAACAGCTCAATAAAAAAGACGTACCCCTAATTGTAATCCAAGTCAGTAGGTCTGAATATGTTTATTCCATCAGTTCCTAGTACTAATAATGAGAAGGCCATACCAAAATAAGCACCTGATAACTCTGCTAGAGCATAAATAACTAATGCTTTGATATTTTTAACCCATTGAGCTTTTTAGATATATACACCAAGTGTGACTCCAAAGTTGAAGTGACCTCCAGTTCTTCTGCCTGCAACCATTACTCCCATAAAGATTCCACAACCTACAATGACTGGATGGTGATTTGTAAAGTTAATAGCAATAAGCAAGAACGAAGTTCCAATGAATTCAAATAAGAATAAAAGAGCACATTCTTTCTTAGAAGATAGATCGAAATTCCCTTCTTCCATGATATAATTCTAAACTATTAAATTACTATAAATTAAGTAATACTTTAATTATCAAATTATCATAATTTAGAAATATCTCTCAATCCTTGATTTTATATTTCATAATTCTTCTTTCCAAGTATTAAGTTTTTATGGGGTTTTGGGGTTTTGGGGTTTTGGGGTTTTGGGG